TAATAATTCTCATCGGTACGGTCACGGTCCAAGTCGCGGTACGGTTGCAATCATCAGCAGCAGTACGACCACGAGAGGACAGCAACGCAACTATAGTTAGAACCGTCGCCGCTTTTCAAAGTACGGCCGTTGTCAAATCTACGATCGACCAGGTGGAACTTGAGTTGTGTATCTGTCGAGACTACGGCTACAGAACTACAACAGCGGTACGGCTATTGGGAACATCATAACGGCAGGAGACCTTCGTGATCGATACGGTCACGGCATTGCAACCGTACCACTACAGTCCAACACGCTACGGACCAACTTTTCCCCGTAAAAAGAGAAGGATGAATGGCGGCTTAGAGGCTCGTAATTTAGGACCCATATTGATCCAATTCTTTCATTAAGAAGTACGAGTAAGGTTTCCTCAGGGATAAAATGTCAACCTCAGAATCTATTTACATGTCTTTTTCAACCGTGAATTTGCTATCATAGGACGTGAATTTCTCAGTTTAATATTAAATACACCAGTATTTCAGTGCATCCTTATCTCTGTACGATTTTTGCCATAACCTGTTTCATACGAGAACTTATATACGCGAATACTCCTAGTAAAGCGTAAGACGCTACGGACGCAACCTGACCAAATTAAAGTAATTGACGATCAATAATATTATTATAACAATGAAGCAAATCATCAATCTTTTAATTTTTAAAACTTAATCGGCATGATCAGCGTGTTTACTGAAGAAATCAGTAAGAATAATGAGCGCCTATAAAACTTTTAGAAGAGAATAAATGATAAACATATTGTTTTGTTTTGAATGAAGTACAAGTTTTAATTTGTAAATATACATCATTGCCCAAGAATCGTAGAACAATCTTGTTTACACATAAGTTAGTACATCACGACAAAACTATTCAGTACTATAAATTATTGTAACACAACAGTTGACCAAACTGCTCAATTTATAAAAGCCTATTTTCTACAGCCCCTCAAACTTATCATAATTTCAAAGCATGCAATTAATGTATTTGATGAGCTGCTCGAGAAATTGGCGATTAACCTTCCTTTTATTTATGTTACTAAGATTTGGACTTTTAATATATAAGCTGGTATAGCATAACACGTTTTTATTTGTAAACTGATGATTTCGTAATAAAATTGCAAGAAATTCTGTTACCGTATGGCACATGCGCCAAATATATTCTCACTATAGCGCAGTGGTTCCCTAATTCTGTTGGATTGTGTGGTGATTGATTGGAAAAAATTAATCGTACGGATAGAATTAATTACGATAAAACTAAGTTTATGACTTATTAATCCCTTTTTTTAGAACGGCATCCAAACGACATGTCTCCATATATATAGATGTCTAGTTTCGTACAACTTTGTTAGCTGTACCTGTAAATGCAAGGCTTCATTGTTTGTAAATGCAAGGCTTCATCTACTCAAATGCTTCATTGTTTTATGATCATAAGTAATCCAAGGAGAATTTATAATATATAGAGCACAGCGCATATTCAATAATATTGACGGTACACGCACGAGTGTACCTCATTCAAGCAAGTATAGGTGGGCAAGCTCAAACGATGAAGAATTTTCAGCGAGTACATTACGACAGCAACTCCGTTTATTTTAAATTTCAATGACACTGTTAGACAATACAAAGAGTACAACAATGTATTCGTTTTGCAATTAAAATTAGAGTAGTCACAATTTACTCCGTATACAGTATGCTAATAATTTAAGCCATGCCTTTAGAGGACAAACGTTTTAAGCAGACATCAGAGTCCAAGCTGAGGCTGTGGTTTACGGAACATGCATGCAGAAATTGGCGGAATTCTCGATTGTATGGATATTCACTGACAGGATATTCAGTTATTGGTTAAAGAATTTTGTACATGATGCCACTCATTGGTTAGAGAATTTTGTGCATGACACTTCCCTGTGCCACACGGTATCTCTGCATCTGAGCAGAGGCGTCTCAATCATAACAAAAGTCTCAGCTGGTATTGCGTATTATTTTATAATTGTGGTATTTTTCAAAGCAGGAAATAGGCTTTGAGAATATGTGTTGTAAAAAATAGACCAAATGGTAGAAAAATTTGTGTGTCTTTTTTGTTTGCCAGAGATTACGAAGGATATTGTTTCGGGCAACTAACAACAACAACAAGGATATTGTTTCGTTGTTGGTTTACTGTGGCTTACTTCTGTTTTTTTTAATCGATGATGGAGCGATAGCATTGTTATCTCCACTTCATGAACGTTTTTTGAGTGATGTTTAAATTGATAAAAGGTTTTTCATTGTCATAGATGGAGGTGAATCACAAATGGATTATTGATGGTAGCTAAAAGATTTTTTAAGAATTTCTCTTCTGCAAGGTTCTTGACAGCGTTTGCGCGGAGGCCGACTATCATTTGAATACAATGCGCAGCAGCTTGTGCTTGCAGATCAGGAGAGGTGAAGCATATCAAGGAAGTCTTTAATGTGACGAGGAAGTTGCGCCTAGAAATCAGTGACTCGGTTCCAAAACACGTGTACTTATTCTATCAACAAACTCTAAACGTAGAATACTGTGCAAACGGCATAATATGACATGTTGATTACATTTATTGATACAAATGACCTGTAGATTATAGTAACATGACGCATATAATGTGCCGGTTTTACTGACATGCTGCTCTTCTATCACACTATATAAACTCGAAATTATTCGCATATCGCTGTCCTACGTGACACCGCTTCAGTTTTCAAAGCACGTTATTGGTACAAAAAAATGTACTTAAAAAATAGACGTACTGCACATCTCGGTCAATTTTACGGCCGGACTTATAACTCACAAACGAAGGCAAAATCGAAAAAAATGGCCACGAGCTAAACCAGTGGTTCCCAACCTTTTTCAGGCTGGCGCCCCCTTTGGCTCCCTAGTGAATTTCTAGCTCCCCCCCACAGACATACGCCTCTTTCTTGAAATTTAGTACGCTGCAATTTTAAAAGATCAAGGTTAAACACAAATGTGTATTTTACTAATAGAACCCCATTTAGTGAACCAATATGTTTTTCAGCAGTTCTAACTGTTTCAGCACTAGAAACCTATAGGACGTCAGGGGGCGAATTTACGGCTTGACTCATGGCCGGTCTCAGGACCATGCAATCTCCAAATTCAAGTATCAAGTAATATCTCCCAAACTAATGAACGCAGCTCGATGAAACTTGGTACACGCATTCATTATAGGATCTAACGGTGATGTTTGGGTCGTAAAGAATTTTGAATTTTACCTTCATTTGTGATTTTTGTGGCGATACGGGCCGAAACTCGCAGTGATCAAGGAATTTCTTCTAAGCTGCTGAACAGATTTGAACGAAACTTTGAATATAAATACCTAACCTCCCAACGGTGATGTTTAGCTCGAGACAACTTATAGCGCATTTTCTCATTTATAGAAAAAATTCACTATTGTGCTCGCCATGTCCGTCTGTCCGTCCGTCTGCCCGTCTGTCTGTCCGTGACTTCACGTTTTCGTCGACGAGAAAATGCGCTCTCTGTCACTCACTGCAGTGAGTACTGAGTTATATTTTTTCTGATTTTTCCTTCGCTCGCGAGTTTTTTTCCATTTCACCTTCATTCGTGATTTAAACAGCAATACGTTACGTGCTAAAATCCTCTGTATTGAAGAAATTTCTCCTAAACTGCCGAACAGATTTGAACGAAACTTGATATCTAAATACCTAACCTCCCAACGGTGATGTTTAGCTCGTGACAATTTTTAGATTTTGCCTTCGTTCGCTAGTTATACGGATACACAGAGAAACGACCGACATTTATGAGGCCGATTTTTAAACTTGCATTGACCAAGAGCCGTNCTTTACAGTTAGGAGGTTAGGTATTTATACACAAAGTTTCGTTCAAATCTGTTCTGTAGCTTAGATGAAATTTCTTGATCACTGCGAATTTAAGAACGTATTGCTGTTTAAATCATGATTGAAGGTGAAATGGAAAAAAATCTCGCGAACGAAGGCATAAATCGGGAAAATTTTCACGAGCTAAATATCACAGTTTGGAAGTTAGGAATGTATTTTCAAAATTTTGTTCAAATATGTTCAGTAGTTTAGAAGAAATTCCTTGATCACTGTGAATTTTGGTTCGTATCCTCATATAACTCAGAAATTAAAGCGAAATTCAAAAAATTGTCACGAGCTAAACATGACCGTTAGTTTCTAATGGATACGTCTACCAAGTTTCATCGATCTGCGTTCATTAGTTTGGGAGATATTCCTTGATCAGCGAATTTGGAGATTGGCCGTGAGACCGGCCGCGAGTCCGGCTGTAAATTTGTCCTCCGAGACGTAGCAACTGCTGCAATCACTTCCTTTCCTGATTTTGATGAGAAGAAAAACATTTACTAATCTTAGCAATACAAACTATTTAGTTTTTTACGGAAAATAATGCATTTTGTTGCTATGAAAATAGAAAATGCTTTGTTGCTTGTTGGCAATTTTGCGCCAAGCAATGTGTCCTGCACGTTTCGTTTGTAAAATGTAAAGAACGAATTTCAAATTGGAAACCATTTTGGTAGATGTGTCGTATTGAGTTTACATCGGAAAGCGAATCTAGCTTCCGATTCAATAAAAGTGTCGACATAAAACATAATAGTCTTCGTTCATGACAAAGCATTCAATTAAGGATTTCTGAAAAATATTTGATTATATTTCGTGAGCCATATTTTGAGATTCGGGAAACTCCTCTCCATGACTTTACTAAAAAAGCACCAAATGATTGGCGAAAGAATTTTAGTTGAAAAATTATTTGGTTTTGGTATTGAATTAGGTGGCGTAAACCTCAGTAACTAAACGACGTGTTGTTCTTACGTGAAAAAGTCTTTTGACTCTCGACCTAATAACAAGAGCAATGATGAACGAACCGGCACATACCAGGCGCCCTGCTCAGTCTGTTGAGGATAGTGGATGACGTGTGGATCTTTTTTCTTGAGTGACGTAAGCCCCCTTCTAAATGTGCCTAATTACTCTCTTTTACGTGCTAGTTGTGGGTGCCGAAAAATTTCAATTGGAATGGTTGGCCCGTAAATAAAGTGCTTGACCGTGGTTATAACACATAAAGGGAGTAAAACGCTGAAATATGAGGACGGAAATGTATTTGGACCTTAGTAAGACCTTACAAAACTGTTTCATAATTGTAATGCTCTTAGTCTTGGTGCGTGAGATTGAATTATTACGGTTCTTCATCCGACTGCTTAGATTCACCGTGGAAGAAATATTCTGATGAACTTTCCTAACAGTGGCTACTGTTTTGTTTATTGCTTAGCAGCAAAATTGTAAATGGGTCTGGCAAATGATGAAGGAAGCATGAACGGAAAAAAATGAGTGGTTCAATGTAGGAATCTTTAGGGTATTGCCTAGTACTTGCCGCTGTTGCTTCACAATGGCATTAGATTAGCGAATCTTTGTGAACTTCTGCCAGCGTTACTGTTGCCCGCTGCCGTGTATTGGAAATAGCGGATGAATAAGCTTGTATTGTTCCTATCTCTAGGTTGTTACGCTTATAATGGTAATTCCACCATGAATGTTCAATTCAACTAATGTGCTTTCAGATCTCTGTTCATGCAAATCATGTGCAGCGATATCCGTGGAGCATCTTCATGATCTTGCGTAGCGCAAGAACTTTCATGGAAGTTTCATCAAGAGGAATGTTGTGCTTTTGAGTTGTTGAAACTTTATTTGAAGAAAATTTAGTTTACGTTCAGATTATTATGTTCAGATGCAATTTATGCTAGTTGCCTTGTATATCAGGTACAACCGCGGCCCCACGGCCCACGCCATTTTAGGCCGGCATGAGGCTACGTCTGTATGAGGATGGCATTCTGAAGTTTTCTATGATAGCTCATTGTATTTGAAGGAAAACTACTCTAATCCTGTTAATGTGCAATGATCTTAGTAATTACTGTATTCTGAATGAAAGGATAGCACGTAAATTAATCAGAATAAGAAAGATTGTGAAAAAGTAAATTTTGCTTGTGAAATCGGATAAAGATTGCTCTTGCAGCTTATTCCACTTATCGCCGAGCAAGTTATAATAGCTTCGTGAGACGTGAGGTAGGTTCGTAACTTCGTGATAGTCCAACGGCACTTGGTTCAAAATTGGTCTATTTGAAGGCTCCGTTGTACTTTTTACAATAGTTATTTTCATAGTTATTAAGTTCTTGCCTAATTATGCTAAATTTATTTATAGATACTATGAATCTACGTTTCCAGGAGAACCGATGTCTCTTGCGGTAGCAGCAGCAGCCCTAGACCGCGCTCTCAAAAATAGCCCCTCTTCTATCCACCCCCCTCAGTTGCCTGCCTACCCTCCGTACAGGAATAGTTTCTCTGTTAAATGTAGGCCTATTACGTATGTTCGTAGTAGGAACCACCGCTCGGTTTCTCCCACCATATCCTACAGAAAGTATGCTGAAGATGCCAGATTTTTTTCTTCGAAGTATGGACCTAGCCGTGGGCACCACTTGCACGAATGGAACAAAAACTCTGACGGTAGAACGGTCAGAAGAACGGCTGAACAGAACGCCAGCTCACAACGAATGGTAAGTCAGGTTGACTCTCTTAAAGACCAAATATTCTTCACCAGAGGCCTCACAAAGAATTGGCCTCGTTCATCGTGCCGAGGTAGACGTGGTGAATTTCACGGCAGTATAAGCGGATCTGAGATTTTTCACTCCATCCCTCGTTTCCCCTTTCACGGTATGATCGGAACAAGATTCCACGGTGGAAGAGCAGGGTTCACAGGCGCCAGGACATCATGCGAGCCACGTTTTGCTCAAAGGAACTCCCTGGGTAGTCGTGGCCTGAATCCGTGCCGCCCTTTGACCACGTATCAGAATTCGGGAAGTTACGGAAAGTTTGAACACCCAATAATCACGTCGAGAACAAACGGCAGATTTGCCAATGACACTGAGAAAGTTAGAACTACGGAGTCTTCTTATAAGAAGAGTCATAATGGCGACATCAGGGACGCACCCAACGAACTTTCGTGCACATCAGATTTGAATTTTGAGCCAACTCTAATGAAAGGGCCCGACTCTTCGCTTTCGGGCTCAACACACTCGTCAATGGGGTCTGGACCCACTGAATATGCAAGAACAAACAGTGTGCCCGAGTGTGAAGTCATATCTGAGCACGCTCCATTTCTCGGGATTACTGACCTTCAGCCCGAACATTCTCTGGAACGGACCAAACTATGCACTGATCATGTTGTAACTTCTAAGGTCTTCGTTAACCCTGCAACGCAAGACGTTCCTCTAAATAAGCAAGACGAGATGCTCAATCCGGACAAGAAATCTTGCTCGTTCAGGACATCCTTGAAGCATAGCCCCAATATAACCTGCAGGTTCTCGGAAAATTATGACGCTGAAATCTGTAGTAATGGCACAGGTTTATCAAGTCTAGCCAGTAATGAACTAACTATGGCTATACCCTCTAGATCATCAGTAGCTCCTCGTCCGGCAAATAATATAACTTGCATTTCGCACACAGCCTCGAATGCCTGGCCGTCAAGTTCCGCTGGTTCCGGTAATTCATCACACTCGGGTGATTCTAATTTGGCTGTAGCATGTAATGAGGCTGGGCACTGGCTCACGGCCGACTCTCTTCAGATACCTGTCGACGAGGTCAATTATTCGGGTCCGCAGTTCTTTAGTAAAGAAGAATCTGTTGCTGAAATATTGGAGTTCAGGTCCATTTGTGAAGAGCGAAACGGGAGCATAGTGGTAAAACCAGATATCGCTTCTCTCATTCTACAAGGCTGTTTATCTTCGGAAAAGGTCCAAACAAAGTGTTGGAATGCGAATGAAACTAGTTCTACATCGGGAGGCATTGAAGAATGTCAACGCTCAGAGCATGAAGAGTCTGGTTTCGAAAATGATGTTGCTGTAGCGAACGTAGATTCCTGTCCAGATTTATTGTTTGACTTCATCTATCATTCCGAAAATGCAAGTTTCATGTCTTCTTCACCCAAAAAGGACCGCCAATTTTCGGAAGAAAGTGCTGCCGATATAGAAGAGGAAAGTTCACGGATGCCATCGTCGACTCAGGCTGTGCCTGGTGTGCGTAGGCGGTCAACCAGCGTCATTTCGTCGATTAAATCTAGCAAGAAGAAACTCGTGAATTCCGGGCTGGCTAAAAGCCTGAATTTCTCTGAAGAAACGGAAGTTTCTGAGCATGATAAGGTGGAATTACAATCTGGTCTTGAAAACTCAGAGAATGGGACAATTGTTTCTGGGAGCACGGCTTCAACTCCAAATGCAGTTTCAAAGTCAACATATGCACCTGCTTTATATGGATCCTCGGTTGTGAGCGAGAGCGAACTAAATGTTTTTGAGCACATTGCATGGGGTTGCAACGTTAAACCTTATAACGAACCTTACGGTGTTGCAACCCCAACCTGGAATGAACCTGAGAGTATTTCTGACCGGAGATCAAAGAGCGCCAACTCTTCCAGCGAAGTTGACCGTGCTGAATCGGAGCTGCAAAACTTGTCTTATCTTGATCAGAAGCAACCTCAAGAGTCGAAGTACAAAACGGAGCTGTGTAGGGCGTTCCAAATAAGAGGCAATTGCAGATATGGGTCTCGGTAAGTGAAGGAGGCACAGTGCAATAACGTTTATTAATCACAAGCTTTCTGTCTCGACCTTATTTTGGTTTCTTGATCTCGGACTTCAACTAATTGGCATATAGAAATCTATTCTTGTAACGAAATTCTAATGAAAGTTCGCTTCTTCTGAACTAATAATCAAATTTTGGTTTAAAAACTTTCAACATTAGAAGTTCTACCCGATTTTATTCCGGCAACTTTTTGGGCGATGGGAGGAGCTTATTATCGTTTTTGAAATATTGCAAGGTTAATGGAAAATATTATTGTTGGTATACTTCGCGTTTTTTTTACTTGTTGACTACTCGTGTTTCAGGTGCAATTACGCTCATGGCCTCGATCAATTGAAGGTGTCTTTCCATCACGGCAAGTACAAAACGCGCAACTGCCAAGCCTACCACGAGTCGGGCTACTGTCGGTATGGAGCTCGCTGCTCTTTCATCCACGATCTGGAGGAAGGAATACTTAAGTGTTCCATTGCCAACAAAGAGGTAGCGTCATATGATCGACGTAAGGTTCTCGATAATCTATTTTGTGCCAGAAGCTGCCCACCTATTTCTAAGCAATTCAATTTGTGGATATGAATTTGTGGTAAAATATTGCTGGATATACCGATCCTGATAAAGGGTGGACTACTGCAGTATTTTCAAATGAGTAAACCATACCAATGTTAAAAATGTTGAGATATCAGATTGCAAATAGGTTTTCGCCTAATGAGCAAACGTTATTTTAAAGATACTTGAAGCCCTTCATCACTGGCCTGAAGAAAATACGACTGACAGATCTGCGACAGTCACTTGGCGAGTGTTCAGTGGTTGTCGTAATGCAGACTCTAATGATACGTTGCTGGAGTTTACTGCTATCCCTTCCTTGAGGCCTGCAGACGTGGATTCCATAGAGAGCGGCTCCCATGACAACGTCTCGCGCATCTACACGCTAGATGCTGGTCGGTATACAATGCAAGCAACAGTTCGCTCCAGAGATGAGACTTCAAGAGACTGCTCACAATCTATAACTAAAACCAAAGTGTATGGATCGGATGAAACGATTTTTTCAGAAAACCTCCAACCGAATTATGTTGGATTTAGAGACCAGTTTCGCCATAGTGATCGTTTCCCGTCAAGCAGACGTCCTTCGATGATTAGAAGCAGCGTAAATGATCTGATTACTCTTCTGCGCTCTGTAGAAACAAGTTTTTCCTTTAGGAGAACTGCACCTCAAGTTAACTTCAGAGTCAACAGGAGCCGCGAAAGTGGGGGATTCGCCAAATCGACACGGAGCTGTGAGGGCTATGGTAGAAATGAAAACTTCGGGGGAAATTGTGACCGGCGCAATTTCAACTCTGAAGCATATCAAAACGGGTGGGAGGAGGATGAGGGTTGCAGGTTAAACGAGGACGGAAGAGGACGAATTGCGTCGAGTTACAAAAAGAAGAAATGTTACAGCTTCCACCAGAACGGGTTTTGCTTGTACGGTCCTTATTGTCACTTTCTGCACGACGAGGATTGAACAGTTCATCGTGTGGAAATGGGCACCTCTCTGAAGGGTTTTCTGAAAGAAAGTTGTCGTGAACCCTAGTGTGTGATGGCAGGCAAGAACTGGTCTTGGTAAGTTTTAGCGATTGATTCTGGTTTTATGTAAATCTTTCAAGTCTTGAGACTTCCAGCACACGTGGAATCGCAGAAGGAAGCTATAAATTTTTTATATAAGCTAACCTCCTCGTTATGGTTTTTTGAGAGATCGTTCATAATTTAATCTGGAAGCTTTATTTATAATTTCCCATCAATACATGGAGGTCCAGGCTCTTCATATTTCATTCTGTTCAAGCATTCCATTAACGAATTTTTAGTAGCTTTTATGGGATGCCAAGTAGATGGTGCATTTTCATAGCTAGGAATGCAGAAATGTTAGCATTTTTATATAATGCTTTTAACTGCCGTTGGACTAATCTTAATGCAGAATGTGGAGCCTTCGATTTTTTTATCAGTTAGCTCTCGTCGGTGAAATTATATCGTGCAAAGTTTTCTTCCTAAAACTAATGAGAACAAAATCAGTTACTTGAATCTGATATGATTGCTTTTTATGCTGATTATTTAATAAAATTGTTCCTTCTGTTCCAGTGCTTGATTTGAATTTCCCACGAATGAAAAGAGTAGATAGGAAGCTTCTGGCTCCTTCAGCTATAGCTTGGTACGTTTGTCTTCAAGAAATCGCAGGGTATAAACCATTTTGCTCAATGTTCCTGGCAGGGCATGCACGTCGCATATCATACATTTGTTGGAGCTGCTGCGCTCAAGACGGTACTGAGGCGCTCCCCTGCCTTCTATTTAGTGACAGTTACGTGTGCGAATGAAATGTCTGGAAAACCTCTGTGAATGAAACCTCCGAAAGTTACGTGTGCGATGGAGTTGCCTCTGAACACGTCGTTTGCTTTTCTCCAGAAGTTGCATGCGGTTCATTTTCTTTTCGGCTTGCGGGCGCCGGCATTCCGAAATCGGCTGCAAAACATGGAACGATTCTTGTCCGGCATTTGTTCAAAGTAAATAGGGAGGGAGATCTGGTTCTCGCAGTAAATACTGCTCCCAATTTGATTTAGAGGTCCTGTCTGACATGGAAATATTCATTGACGCGTTAATTGATGATACTCTGAAGATGGCTTTCTTTGATCTGTCACAGCATCTGCAATTGATGGCACAGTATGGAGGACCGTAGGCAGTTTTAGTGGATTTGTGAAGGGGTTTTCTATCTTGTTTCTCGATTGAATATTTTATATTTTTCACAGATGCTGTGAAAATACACTAATGTGGAATCTACACGCATGATACTTTTTGAGCTGGTCCGTTGGTAATTGAGTTAATTAAAAACCTCGAATTTAAATGAATCTGTTGTGGCGTTGGCTTCAAGAGTTTGGCGCAAGAGCTGTTGCATTGTAGAGGGAAATATTTCTAACGGAACTTAATTGAATAAATAGCATGCAATAACTTTAGCCGAACGGCACCATAAGGCATCCATTTAGTGGAGATTCGTTACCCAAACTTGAGCCGTGGTCCCTCGGGCGCAAGTATACTTTAATTAGTTTTCTAGTTCTCGCATATCTTTGTGTCCGGTCCATGTAAGCCTGCTAGTCACCTTTTAACCAACTCGAGATATTTCTCTATTTCCCTCCTGTTTATTCGTCGACCATTCTGGTGTTGGATTTTCCAGGAGAGACCGCTGCGCCCAAACGCCCATTGCCCAGTGGCTTGAGTGATGTTCACTTACGATTGAAGATTGCCCAGTGGCAATTAAGTGATGCGAAATTTCTTGAATGTTCCCTTACGGTTGAAGAATTTTCTTATCGTAGACACCGATTTGATTGGTAAATGGAGGCGACATTAGGTTCATTAATAAGATGTAAAACCGTAATTATTAACTATTGGTTATTTTAAACGTGCTGCACGTTGCTGGGGAGTTGGCTATGCTTTTTCACCTCCCCCCATTTAGATCTTGACAACGTTTTAGTAATTAATCATGGGATGGGTATTGTCAACTCGTGAAACTTTTTGAGACGTTGTTAAAGTTTCACCTCGAACGAAATTTTATAAATAGACAGCGCGCATGCACTGAATTGACTAATTTTATTTACTCTCCGACGTAGCACACAATAGTTTCTTCAAGCCTGGCAAGATTTTCGAATCTTGCTAACTACCCCCCCCCCCCTCCTGAGCTAGATTATCTCTGCGGCATTTGGAGGCCGCAGCCTCACTCGTCCAGCCTGTCAGTTCCTCGCTTCTCTAATTAGATGCTATCAACGTTGCCACTATTGCCGTCAAGCTGAGAATGTCGCCCCCTCGCATAGGAATTTAGAACGCGTCGGCTTTTAGTACGCCCGACATCGCTCTGACGTCATTAATGTGAAGCCGATGATGTGCGCTGCTCAAGCTTATGTTATTTGGATAGAGCCTAGAGGAATCCAGTTTTTTTTCATGCGTCACGAATGTTTAGAAGCACTGATACTAAACAAAGTTAGGCGAAGTTGTTGTCCGTGCACGAGAATTAAGAAAAGAGATCAATCCTGCTTTTATTATTTACGTTTATAGATCTCGATCTCGCAGCGATGTGCACAATACTCGAATTTAATGTTTTATTCCCACTTCAATTATACGTGGGATGGTCAAATAATCATTTCAGGTCGCGACTTTACGAATAGTCAGAAAATTCATCGTTCGATCCTTTTCATTGCGGGAGCTGTTGACAACGAGGAATAATTATGAAAAACAATAATATACTAAGTTCCTCTTTCAAAGACCGCATATCTGTAATGCTGAGTATTTATTATTCTTTGTTTTTTGATGTTATATTCTGAGCTACAATTTCGGCAGTAATGTGAACTCTTTTCTTTGCGGTGGTAATGAGCACTCGGCGATTTTTTCTTTTTGTTAAGAAATTCTTCATTGGTCGTACAGAAATATGACTGAGAGCTCGGCGCTTATGGCTTGAAGGGTTTAAGGGGAAGAATAATTTCAATTTTATAGTAACATCTGTATTAATCTTAAAGTATATCTATGAGAAGATGCCTGGCTTTCTAATAGAAAGAATGCTGATTAAACTTGTAATATTTCTTATATGAAAAATAAGCTTAGCTACAGAACCAACGTATAACCATAATTTTGGGTACATAGGAAAACAATAAGTCATAGAGGTAATTTAACAAATTTCTTATCATATCAGACAATAAAACTGTGGTGAATTCAATTCAAGTGTTTTGGACTAGGCTGTAGGTTGGCAGGCAGCAGGGGCGACCAGGCAGGCAGTGGAGGCCATATTTTTATTTATTCATTAGTCTACCAGTACTATGAAACCCTCAAAACTTTTACCTACCAGAACTCCATCCCTCTGCCTGCCGAGCTTGAAACTTTTTGAAGCATCAGCTAATTTCTGACGCATTTCACTGCTCTGGCTCTCATTTTGTCCTTCATTCTCAATACATTTTTCATGTAAACTTACATGTGGTAAATCGTTAGTTCTTTCTATAATTCATTCACATAACTGGACTGAATTTATGATACAGTTTACGGTTCATTTTTTTTCTTCAAGTTCTGACATAAGAAGCTGAATATTCAGCTAATATTCCGCCATCCAAGTGATAACTTCTTACAAATATAATCGAATTCCTTAATATAGTCATTGCTCATATCATGTTATGTTGATCATGCATTGTATGATTTTCCTTAAGCTCTTAATAGGAGAACATGCTTGGGGCCTTATTCTAGATAACTTTCAGTTAAACTCTCACTGCCTTTGAAGCCACAGCTCCTTTCGTGACTGAATTTTTTTGCACTAATTAGGATCCATTCTTTTATAAGGCTAATTAAATTTTCTTCTTCAATAATTTTATGGTAATGGTTATCTGGATTTAAAATTATTATGTCTTCCAACATGTTCCTGTGACTGAATGAAAATTTTCTCACGTGTTCACAGTTAGCATTTTATTTATCTTTTGAATACTCGTTTTGTTTATGACTTAACAGAACCTACCGAATAGAATAGAAGTGTCGGCATTGAAGAAACAGGCCCATGGCCTGTGGCCGATTCTTGAACTTTTCGTGACTTGATTCACAAGGGATCCGGCCTTTGTAACCCGATCTTTCCATAACTGACGATTGATTGAGATAGCCGCTTGACTTATTGCTTGGTCCGTAATTTGCTAGGCATTTTAAGACTGAACATATGCTCCTTCATAGCTTCTTCTAGTCTGTTTTTGAAGGTGTTCATACTCGGAGCGTCAACGATGCTATCAGGGAGGCTGTTCCACATGTTGGTGACTCGAAGCGAGAAAAATGAAATTTCACGCCTGACGACCGCGTGTGTCAAGCTAAAACTGCGGCGGGATTTCCCGCGACAGTTTAGCTTGCAATATGGTATTCTAAGTAATCTTTCACACTGGGCGGTTTTTCACGCCGCTGCCGAGTGTGGTACAGACAGTGGGTCTAGCAGAGGTAAGGATAATCAAACTATTTCTTATTGTTGCATGCTGTTCTGGGATTTGCCTTGCACACAAGACAATAATTCATCAAAACTTTCGGTAGACATTCGGAAATAATTGAAGAATTTTGCTTCATCTTCTCTTAATTTTCCGAATAGTGTGGCAAATTCACCTTCTTTTGGCCTTAATTTTACTATATTGTGAATCCAGCACCTCCTCTTCTTTCTTTAATTGCTGTCTTATGCAGCAAATATAAAAGGAGAGCCTTCTTTTCTTTGCGATGAGCAGCCATTTATAGATATAATTCACAAAAACTGACGACCACTTACGAAGAACAGCACTGCAAATCTGATAGATTCCAGCGTGAAAAACCGCCTCGTGTAAATGATAGCGCGGGAAATCCCGCGGCGGTTTTTTTCACGCCGGCGATATTTCCCGCCCTGTGTGAAAGGGGCTTTGGTCGAACATCACGCCAGGAATGTTTTGCAGCGGGTGTAGGTACACACCAATGTTGTCTACTTCTTGCATCGTAGGCATGCTATTGCTATTTTATTTCAGCTTTTCTATATGGTAATAATGCTGTGTGGGTGTCGTCGGTCAATATATGCATAATTTATTTTTGCTTCTGTGTTATTTAATGCATTGCTAAGCATTTCTAGAATATTTATTGATTTATTATTTTGATTTTGTTTCATTTTCTTTTTATTAAGCACACTATGATTTGAATTATGAAGGGTAGGTAGCTCTCACTCAGCCCTATACATTATGACTAATATTCAGTAAATTAGTGAGGAACGGAGCAGTGCAGTTTACGAAGGGCGCTGGCGGAGTTAGTTTATGAATGGCATCTTGAGGCTACCGGTGGCAAACCACAACGTAGTTTCATGTGAATGGTTTGGAGATTTTGGATGACAGTTCAAGAGGCGACAGGATACCAGATGGGAACAACCGAGAAAAGCTCCGTCAATCTTGCCTCTGCCATGTCAAGGCTCGGGAAGGAGACGAAGATGGTAATGCTGTCGGCGTATGGGCGATGATGGAGCAGGGGGCCGCTCCAGAATTAACACGTTGGCAGAAGAGTGAAATTAGGAGGCAGACTGAGCCCCGGTCCTTGAATTCTACGGACTTGACGACGATGATTTAATAAGTTCTTTCAAATATTGGGACAAGTACTCAGGATTATTAAATAACTGAATTGTTTCGTTTCATAACGTTGAATATGCAGCTTATCACTAAAAAAAACTGCGGTGCAACTTATCCACGCGACAACATTTCTTCTCGCTTCGAGTCACCGACATGTGGAACAGCCTCCCTGAAGATATTGTTGACGCTCCGAGTATGAACGCGTTCAAGAACAGACTAGGCAAGGCCATGCAGGAGCATATGTTTAGTATTAAAATGCCTCGGACCCTACGGAGCAACTGAAATCTAGAAGCGATTTTAAATCTACCGTCCGTTGAAAAGATTTGATCAAAAGGCCAGTCTAGCCAAGAAAAGTACAAGAATCGGCGACAGGCCTATCCAGGCCTATTCTTCAATGCCGAAGATACTATACTATACTATCAGTTGTTTTTAGTTCTAGGGCTTGCGAATTTTCATTCGTAATTATAAACGAATTTCGCATCGTTTATTTCGATCTGAACACCAATTCCACAGTCTTCGTTTGCACCAACTTCCGACATCGCACGTTTTGTTATGCGAATCCGTGCAGTACTATATAGTCAGTTGGAATCACTTCAGTTAATTATTTGTGAATATTTTCTGCAGTTGATATACTGATCCCACTGAAATATTTTTCGCATCTGATCTACTTAATTGTTCCATCTTGGTGAAACCCAATTTTAACTTACATTTTCAAACTTACTGTTAAATGTAAGGTAAATTCAATTAATCTGTAGTGAACCAGTTGCGTTCGCACCAATCTTGCGTACGCCGCAGTTGTATTCGTGATACGCACTGCCACTTATGTTAGCGCTTGCTGGTAATTGCATAGATTTTTGAACAAAATTAGTTAATCGAGATTTAAGCGGTGTAAAAAAACAGTCGATATGAAATTTGCAGTTAGGATTTTAGTGAAGCTTGTTCTTTTTTTATTGATCGTGGAAGTGGAACGATAAGCGTGCGAGTGTAAATCCCAGAGAACGATGAACCTTCACCGAGAAGCCATGATGGAAATTTAACCTGTACGCAGGCCCGATCAAGATTTATTTCAAGAAATCGACTGGATTAAAACTTTGCCAGGACAAGTTAAGAACGTGACCGTTTGTGGGGACGTAATCCGCTTTGCTGTGATGACGCAGCGCGACGCCGCGTTGCATTTCGAGTATCCGCAGAGAATGCACGTCTTGTTAGACGAGGGCGATCACAGGTCTATGCTGACTGTTCAACACGCTCGCTTGTACTTCCCGAGTTACCCTTCTTTGCCTATCCAAGCTGTAGCACAGACTGATGACCTGCTCAACTTCAGTGAAATGCGTGTCCTGGAGATGAGGATGCAGGCTGGCTAGTATAAGATCGTCGATAACGCGTCAGGAACTGTCATTTTAGAGCTGCCAATCGCTCCAAGACTTAACTTCGATCCTCTATAGACACACGTTCTGAAGTTTACTGCTTTGCGAAAAGCGTTGTGGAAGTTCCAGAAAATGGAATGCTTGGGATTGGCAGAGCTTCAAAGGTACTACAACCAGTAACTGTGAATTGATACCAGTGACATGAATGTGGACAGAGGTTAAGACTGTGTGACGATATATCGTGACTTGTGTTGTTTGTGTGATGCCACACCGTGACTTGTGTTACTTGTGTTACCTCGGCTTCAAGGTCTGCTCTGTCATCGCTAATTACGTTAAGTCAACTCGGCTGCAACACCGTAGACCGTCGCTTAGAAAAGCGTTCTTTTTTGGCAACGAAAAAACCGATAGTCTATTAACATAAATTAGTAATTTGACAAATGAAACATCCGTGTTTTATGAAGTTTAGAAATACGTTTCCAGAGACCTAACACCAGAAAATATACCCGAGTTAACAATAGTGCGTTCGTTTATTTCGCTATTTCGTATCATCACGCAAAAGGTTCAATCTCAAGGAGGATGGACTAGTTTGCGGCGAACTTACCAACGAGTCAGTCTCAAAGAAGAGTTGGGGCTGCGCTTCCCACCCCAACTTGACTGCCTTTGGCCGCGCACTGTGCATGCGTGAACGGTCGCATACGTTAGCTGTTTCTCTCATTTTCTTCAAAGGGAATCTCCTTCGATATTTTTCTGCTAAAAACTTTAACAATTCACAAGAAGACTTCGTTTCGGCCAATAATGTGAATAATGATTTCAACATTGGCCTCTACCTTGACATCAGCAACACGAAGCTATAGGTGCCACTTGGACCAGGGTGGCTAGGTAACATGTGGTGCAAATTGTGGGGTTCCAGGAAAGGTTGTGCAATGGTTCAACAGCTGGACGTGTTAGGACGAGAATAATTGCGAAGGATCTTTCGGATATGATTTGATGTGAAGTGATTTTTTAGATCCTTTTTTAATTTGAAATGAAAAAAATCAAGAAGACAGACTGACTCCTCGACAGCTACAATCCTCAGACTTTATCTAGGCTCTCGTGGTGATCCAAATCTCTGCTCTGACAGTCTATAATCTATATAGCGTTATCTGACGAACTGCTTATGTTCAGTTCCACTTTATTATACAATAAGAATAAAATTGAGTTTTTAATGTCCCGTGTGCCTACGATTTAGATAAACGAGGCGGAAATTTTCAGATTAAATCAGTTTTAGGAGACGAAGTTGACAAGGCCTGAATCGAGATAATTTGTTGAGCTTCTGAAACTTGCGAGAGGTAACGGCCACAAAAAATGAAGTGCCGTAACTCAATCATAGAACTGTTAATTATATCTGGCTTATTAATATTTAGGCTTGTGGATTGTGTCAAGGTTGTTTCAATAAAAGCATAGTACTTGACTTGAAATATAAACAAAGGAATAAGGATATGTAAATAGAAAATTATTTCTGCTTTTTCCAAGCCGAACTTGTATTTATTGTTCAGTTGTATCCGAGCTCTGAAAATTTATTTATTTAATTCACTTGTATTGTTAATCCGAGCTCAGAAAATTTCTGGAAATGCATTAATTATCTGAAATCGAGAATATCTTGAAGATTATTTATTACCTAGTATGATGATGCATGCATAGCAGCAACTTGACCAACCTGAAACGCTGTCTGTATTCGAGGTGTAAGCCACCTTCAAGATTTGTCGTAATGTTACATCAATTTTCCAAGTAAAGTAGACCTGCAAATTGCAGAGTAAACAATTGAAAACTAATTCCAACAAATCTGGATTAAGAAATGCCTCCAGCACGACATGAGGCTCCGACGGTGTCGCATGACTCCGACCACTCGGCAGTAGCTGCTGTAGCCTGCCTGGTGGTCGGTCCCTAATCTCAATTCTCAATTTTTCTCAGTTCTCACTACTTCTCAGTGCGTTGCTGACCTCCGTGTAGTGAGGAGGCGCATAGGCGAGTCTGACAAGACTTTGTTATTTGATTTGTAAGTTATGGATAATATTCCATTTTTTGTAATCTTCTAAGAAAATTTATTCATCATTATCAAATATTGTACCTTTCACTCAAGTCTTAACTCGTAAAACACAACCTTAAAAATTGTTACGATTAAAAGTTAAATAAAGTCGTAATCCACGTTACCGACGAATATTCTTATTATTAATTGTTAATTATTGTTGGGTCATTCTTTTTCGTGCATTTCAAGCATTCGTTTATAGTGGAAAACCTCTTGATCAGCGAGTCGGCAGACGCGAACTACAGATCCGTTCATTGAGCTAGCGTAGGGTAAAATGATAATAAGTGACTTCGTTATCGTCGACTGATAATAAATATATCGGGCAGGAACTTGGACGAAAAAGTGGTAGTTTACGTGTAATCCTGTCAGCCATCGGACGACAAACATGAGCGTCGCGAGAAGTTTGTTGCTCGTCCAGGAACTTGACAGTCATCTCGTCAAGAGATTTCTTCACCATGTTACTAGGTGAGTCCAGATGTGAACTAAAATTTAGCTATCATATTTCTAGCTCAAGTTTCTCATTTCGATGCTAGCTTATTAAAGAAATAAGAATATCTATTGCATTTGGTTTAATTCACACTTAAGAAAATGATATTAAGCACCGTGCGTGGGCTTGATTGCAGGAATACCAGCTACTTATAAACTAGGTATGCAAATGTCCCCCATGTTACAGCTTCATTATTTATTTTCCGATGTTCCCAGAAATGCGGCCCCGAGAAGGCGCCTCGTGAGTTCCGTGCGGGGCGCTGGGCTGCGGTCGCTGCACTGCGGGGCCCCGGCGCTGCAGGGCCTCGGCGCGGGGTCGACGCCCCCCAACGCTGAGACCATAACCTCCTTCAGGTCCCCAGCCTCCTACAGGAGAGTGCACGCCGCTCGTGCTACTCCTCAGGAGGAGGAACTCTTTGAATCATCCCGCGGTCCGGACCAGGTCGGTTACAAATTATATTTGCATAATATAGTAACCTAGAGCTTCACCAGTGGAGAACATTTTATTGTTGCGGTTATAACAACATGCGGTGACATGATCAGTTTCAGTTTACATTTTCTTCCATTTTTGCCGCTACCAGGCGAACAGGTATGACATAATAGTCTTAATGGAGTGCCGCGATCTTCAATATCCGCCAAAGTTGACTACGCAAGCTCTGATATTACTGTTGAAAGCGCAAGGCCATCGATCATGCTTCATCAGTCACTGTTGACTATTGATAACAGGCGTGGATAACGAGCTTGCAGGCGCTGCGCGATAACGAGCTTAAGACGACTGTATCTGGGAATAGTTGCAAGGTTTCGGTCGTGGCTGCTTTTCCCTGCGCCTAAAATAAAGACATCGATGACTTAAATAATAACTGTGAAAAGCTTTTATTCGTATTAGATCGTAGTTTCATGCGATGGTTGAAGGCTTCGATCACATGTGAACGAGTCACACATATGGACGAATTATGTTATTTTTAGCAAGACCTACGTACGTCATCGTCACAGCATGTTGATATCCTATTATACTTTGAATTAAATCTATTTGGTATTCGAGTAATTGGATATTTATACTTGCTTGAACTTTTGCACCTGGATTTTCTGCCGTATTCTTAAATTTAGAGAGCAAAAAACACACTGCTGCGGGCGAAACCTTTGTCGTCTCTCTTGGAGGCAATAGCAACGATTCATCCAGGCCTTAGGGGCTTCGCAGTTAAATTCACCGCTCAGTGCGTTGTCTTTTTGATCAAATTTTTCTCGCCATAATTTCCTACCTTGTACAATTCCTTGACGATACAAACTAAAATGCACAGGACTAAGGCGCCGGTCGTTATTTTGGTCAGCCTCTTTGGGACCGATAATCTTATTATTGCCTCAGTATGTGTATTCTCTCAAGGATTCGTTTGATATCTTGGACCAATCAAAACCGTTATCTTTGTACGCTATTATGTTGTTACCGTGCCAGCGGCTGGGACAAACCCGTTGTCCACTTCAGAGTTAATTAAACAGTGGAAGCTATTAATTAATGTTGTTTAAATGAAAGAGTTTTCTATTAAAATTATATTTAGGGAAAGTACAGCAAAACAAATTGAGAAGAGTGTGGCATTGAATGATAAGTGGCTTTAGATGGCAGTCCCACTAATGAGGGTTAAGAATACTGTTGGCTGTTCTAGGTCAAAACCTTATAGTGTATGTCCTGTATAGGGAGCACAGGGTAGGACTAAAGTGACTTGAGTGACACTGCAAGAAAAATAAATGGGACATAAATGACCCTAGTGCTAAATAAAGAATTCACAAGTAAAATAATTCAATCTCTTAACCAATGCCAGAATTTAATCTAAAATATTTATTATGACTAAAAATGCATTAAAAACTGTGACTATTAAACAAGAAATAATCAATTAATTCAAACAAGAAAATTACTTCAATAATCAAGATAGGCTTGGATAGGCGTGGTCAGGGACTGAGTATAAAGCCCTCGGAGTTCTGCGTGCCTTATCAAATGAATTGCTTTTCCTTCATTAAAAACGCTTTTTTACGCATTGTCTTTATCACAACTATCATTGTCTTTATCACAACTATCAAGCATTTTAGTAATCTGGGGTGGTGTACCTTTCAATACAAAAAAACTGGTCATCACATTACTTAATAAATCGTTGCGTTCTATGCTTAGGGTTAGGTATGACGATAATAATATTCTTTTGATATGCACTAACGAATTATATAGGCAGTCGAAAATTTTGAAACTTGACGATATGTTCAGATTTCAACTTTTAAAGTTCATGAATAGAGCACTTTACCATGATGAGCGTCTTTTTAAATCTGCTTTCGCCCCTCTTGTTCCCCAACATTCTCACAACACCAGGGGCGTTCGATTTAACCTACCACCGGTTCGTTTAGACATAGAAAAAAGCGGTACCGTTTTTAATTGTGTCAAATATTTTAACAAATTGCCCGATGAGTTCAAACAAGATTGCTCTAAAATGTTTTTAAAAATAAAATTCCGTGATTTTATCCTTAACCAGTATTAATTTGACTTCGATTATTAAGCAAGTTTTAGGTATTTTGACAGATGTTTATAGTTGTACTTTGTTTTACTAAGTGTGATGTTGACATTGCCTCTTTTATGCTGATTTTTCTACTATGACTTACGGTTATCAGTTTAAGTATTTTGACAATGGTTTTGATTATTTTAGAAATTTGTTACTTATTTGTTTTAATCGTCGACTTGTTATCATTGGAATTGAGTTTTGTACCTATTGTTTTGCCTGCGAAGCTTTTTTAGCTTGTATGGGCATTCACCTGGAAGCCTTGCTATTTTATTTAACGTCTCTTTTTATTTTTCATTGTAACGTGTGCTCCTGCGTGAATAAATGTATAAATAAAATCAAATCAAACTAACGCATGAATAAGCAAATGATCGTTAACTGCAGTAAAGTGCATAATGAACAAGGAAGGTACCACTTGTGAAAGAATTACAATTGATCTGACAAAATGGCTAACGAAGTACACAAAATGTCCCGATTTCGGAGAGCAGACTTATTCAGGTTTGCAATTCCAGACTAACACAATACACGGAATGCCAGTGGCTGCTAGTTACTAAATGGCGGAACTGAATTGAACGCGACTGTCGTTAGTTGTGCAAAAATGGAAAATAATTAAATTGAGTCAGATGTTACTGAAAAATAATTAATTAAAACACAGACTGGTTGAGTGATAAAAGGTCAGATGGGTTCCGGCAACAATGTTACCATGTTTCATTTTTTTGGTCAATGATTTGGGCAGACATCTCGAGGACATCATATGTTAACACGGCACCGTATCATCATCAAGTGGCTTGAAGATGAAATTCTTTAGCTTTACAAGTAAACAAATTAGTCAGATAAGCAACTGATAAAGACATTCAATTTGGTTACTAATATTTTATTTTCCATATTTTGTAAGCCAACTGATAGACGTCAGGTGATCCGCAAAATATATTACAAGAGTTTCGTTTTTTCACGGTACGAGTTCTTTATCAGTAGGTAATCTGGTGTGCAGTATACGTAATACGTTGCTTGTCATTATTGCCTAGTGCATATCAATGTGTGTGATTTAATAATATTTAAGTATCTTAACATCGTATTATTTATCATAAATGCATTCATGAATTATCTTAACTCAAATATTGTCACATAACCTCGATTACTTAAATACTCTTATTTCTGAACTCTAATTGCAATGAAATTAATAATGGATGTATTGGACGACTCAACGTTTTCTATTGTCATTGCACATGTTAAATTGATACATTTACGCGCGTTTACGTCTCTGAATTAATGGACTGATGCCAGGTGCTGCCTGCGAGGTCACACAAATGTTGGCATCCTGACGGTGCCGTGACCATCACAATGGACGAAGAAGGCCCAGGGGCTAGAGCGCCCATGTCTGTCCACAGCCTCCTGCAAACAGCAGTTCTCACCCACCCCCAACAGCGTGCCCTCGCCGTCCACCGTGATAATGCTTGGAAGTGAGCTCGATAACAAAGCTACTATCTCTACACTAAACTTCGTCCAACTTGTTCTATGATATCGAGTTTATCATGCGTTTCGCAAAAGTTTCAACTCTGATACATCGAAAACGTGCCGGTGTATACAGTCTGTGGTCAAGATCGAAATTTTTCAACGACTGCTAGCGATCGGGTGGAAAGTGACGATAAAAATAAGAGTTGACTCCGCTTGCCAGGTACTGGAACTATGCGGAGTACTACGCAGCCAGCTATTTTTTTGGTGGTGTTCAGGGGCCATCATGGCGGGGGGGCTGTCAACGGGGCTGTACCACAACAACTCTGCGGAGGCGAGTTGCGGCATCGCAAACGACTGCCGTGCGCAGGTGCTGGTCTTGGACGACCACCACACCGTCAGCAACATCATGACCGTCCGACACAAGCTGCCGCACGTCAAGGTAAGCACACGCTTCACCCATGATTTTCCGGCTAACTTATCTGCTTAATTAATGTATATAATAATAATAATAATATAGCGGTTGCAGCGTTTATTAGGCCGGAGGTCCGTCGCCGATTCTTAACATTGCAGAACATTGCACAGTTTGTTGCGGGCTTGAACTCGCAACTCACTGCTTCAATTTTGCTTTGCTTAACCGCTCGGCCTCCTTGCCGATTCTGACCAGAAACTGACGCACATCGAACCCGCACCTCTCTGCTCCAATCTTGGTACTCTGAACTTCAACCACTGGGCCACCCTGCTAATTGCTGCTTAACTATATCTACTTGAAGTAAATCGTTAAATGGATCATTGTATGCATACCTGGCTCAAAATCAGGATACTTGCATACAAAAATGTATACCAGTTAATGCCCATTCATTGTGTTTACATGCTGACACTCTTGACTATTTGTGCAGGCGATCGTGCAGTGGCTTGGGCAGCCCAGGGAGCGCGGCGTGATGTCTTGGGCGGAGTTCATGCACCTCGGCGCCTCGACGCCCGACGACGAACTGCAGCAACGACTCAGCCTGCAGGCGGTCAACCAGTGCTGCACGCTGATCTACACCTCAGGTCAGGTCGCGCCCTTTGCATGATCTTAACTTTCATTCGTTTCATAATTCAATTTGTTAGATGTTCACTGTTCGGCGGCATGGTAGTATCACGATTGTGGAGCTGAATGGAAGCTTTTGTCTTTTTCCGCTGAAGGTTCACTATTACACCGTAAGAGTGGCTGGAATTTGCTCAAGCCAAAGACAAGAAACTAGAGTACGACGGGAGAAGCGGGTGCTTCCTCTTAAGGGAACTAACGTTAGGAATATAAAAGTTACGGTAGAAACCGATAACTCTCAGTAAGAAGTACAAATAAATGATATGTTATGTGACAAGCATGTGCCATCCTGTCTTGTGTTAACATTTCTTTTCAAACACGATCGAGTTTTCCCGTTTTAAAGGAATACATGAGACCTTACCTTATATAATTCTTTACCAAAAAACTAAATTCTTACTTAGAATTTAATTTTCATCAGTAGCAAGTTTTTTCTAATCTAAGTATAATTGTTTGCGTTGAAATGGCGCTACTTGAATAGAACATTATAGCTCCCAAAGTATCTTGGAAGTCCGATTAATTTTTCAAAATTGTTATTCATGCAATATCGATGCGCAAACCGAAACGGACGCATGAATTTTACATTCTTATCAATCGTTCCGTTAAATGAATTTTCACATGCTCTGTGACGTGATCCCGTCTAAACATAAGGCGAGGGAGCTGAATAAGATAGCTGCGTCTACGGAACTCCCCACACAATAAGTACTCAACTTTGTTTAAAATGAATTGAAATTTGTGTTTTCACCTTGAAATATTTTCATATCAAATAATGTACGGTAATGAGTTCTATATCTAATAATGTACGGTAATACTAATATATCTAATATTGTACGGTAATACTTCATTATCTAATAAATTTAAAAATCTGTGCTTAGCAATCGTTCATAAAAACAGGCACGACCGGTCCTCCTAAAGGAGTGATGTGTTCCCAGGACAACATCACCTGGAGCGCCCGCGCCATCGTTGACTTCTTCAGCCTCAAGCACGGTGAGTGCAGGTTTGGACTTAACTATGTAGCCTTCCATTGTAGAATAGAATAGAAGTGTCGGCATTGAAGAAATAGGCCCATGGCCTGTTGCCGATTTACGGACCCATTAATACTGACACGTTGTCGCCTCCCTACTAGAAAATCTCTGATCCATTTGAGTACATTACTCTCAATTCCCAAACACTTCAATTTACGCAACAGCCGTTCATGTGGGACACTGTCAAACGCCTTGGCAAAATCGAGGTACACTGTATCTACTGGCTCCCTTTCGTCCAGCAGGCGGATCCATTCGTTAAGGGTTCTCTTCTTGTATTTCACCTCTTCTTCTTGTATTGTATTTCAAAACTTGTTAATTTAGATCCGACTGGGCGCTCCTCAATAGCTGGAATACTGTTCATGTCCTCTTCAGTGAATACGCTACTGAAAAAATGATTAAGTACGTTAGCTTTGCCCTCATCAGAGGATATCTTTCATTGATTTACTTTCAAATCAGAAATACCGTCCTTCATCTTGCACTTAATTCGAGCTAGCGTACAAAAAAGAAGGCTTTCGGGCAATACTTTTTTCGAGGGTTTTTTCTACGGTACGACAGCTTTCTTTAGCTTGATTTCGAGCTCTTGCGTATCGGTTATAGCCAGCATCGCTACGAGTCTGTAAATAACGCTGGTATGCTTCCTTCTTTGTTTTCAGCTTAGCTAAAACTGTACTGTTCATCCACCGAGTTTTTTTGGCTCCGCCAAGCTTAATTTTAGGTACACACGCATCAACTGCAGACATAACCATGTCCTTGAGAAATGACCATGACTCAGTCACATTCATGTCCTTAATACAGTTCGAAATATTCACTGTATTCACTGCTTCACGGAGTTTATCATAGTCGCCTTTCGCAAAATTCAAACGCTCACATTTCCGAAGCGTCTTTTCTGTACAGCACTTAAGTCTGAAAAACAATGATTGGTGATGGCCTTTGCCCAACGGAGCCTCGTGACGAAGCTCATCTAACATTGATTCATCACTAGTGAACACCAGGTCTGTTATATTGGGAGTCTGTTTACTTCTATAATGAGGAGTCTGTTTACTTCTATAATGGGTTGGTTTGGTAACGTGCTGGACTGGAAGGAGTCTCTTACTGACTCCATGAACAAGGATGCTGGGTGATTCTCTTCCCTTGGAGAGGATCCATCTGTCCAGTCTAGCTCTGGATGATTAAAATTACCAACGATCAACGTGTGTGACCTATGGAAAGTCATGCTTGGTAAAAGACTGTTTAGTACTTTATCGTTATCAGAAGAACTGTTTGGTGATCTATACACGACGCCTATGAGGAGGCTATCTTAGCCTTTGAGAGAAAGTTCGCACCACACTGATTCTCTAGCTGATTGATGTTCTGCAGATAACTTGATTTGCTGAGCGCCATAAGAAGTTCTAACCCACAAAGCTACACCTCAACTGCACTGCTCTTCATTCAAGTTATGAAAACACTCAAAACCTGGCAACTGAAATTCAACAGGGACAATTTTCCTCCCGTGAATTTTAGGGAGTGTTTCTGTAATACAAATAATGTCTATGCGCTCGTTTTCAATCACAGTTAATAGTTCACTTCTTTTGTTCAAAACGGAATCCGAGTTCGTGTTAAAACATTTTAAAGCTTATTGTGCACTTTCACTTTGATGTATGCGTTTACTTCTTACATTATTTACAGGCCTGTTCTATGGACATGACTTCTTACATGTCTTCCAGCTCCGCTGACTGACCGTGTGCGGTCGGTGTTGTCTTGACATCGTGAAAGTGGTTGATCTGAGTCTCCATACTTTTCCGCCTGAGTCTCTCATGCCATTTCTTGCGAAACATTTCTCTCTCTAAAGGGGTAGCATCCTTTTTAACAAAGACTGAATTAAACTCTGTGAATTCACTTAGTATTCTCGCAGCCTTAAGCACATGTCCGACCTGAGCTGTATCCTGCACTGTTACAAGCAGCGGTTTACAGGTGGTAGCGTCTATCGATCGCAGCCTCTTGCATGCCGTTATATTCACAAGGACGTTAAGTGCCTTGGCACAGCAATCAGTAATAAATTCAGCATCCGAAGCATTGCTTTCGGGAACGTTAAACCAAACAAGGTTAAGTCTTCTTCTCTCTCTGTCCAGCAGTTCACGAGTGCTCTCGCTGGCGAGATCAGAGATGGCATCTTTGCGGCCTTTACCTTCTGTGTTATCGCTATTTTCAGTTTTGTGAAGATGAGCTTTCATTTCCACTAGCTCGTTTCGTAACGAGTGCAATTCGCTACGCAACAAGCTCAATTATTTCTTGTGGTTCTCCTCCATTTCGGCACACTTTCTCAACTCTTGCTTGTTGGTATCTTACATTTCCGCTTTCAGACAGAAAACATAGAAGAGCACTTCTCTTCTACCATTTTTCGCTTTTTACAGCGCTAAGTGCTGGTTGTTGGCAGTCCTGGCAGTACCAATGTACTGACTTGTTTATGCGAATAACCGAGCAGTCTGTCTTGCTCAACTTTGCACAATTGTTGCAGATGATATCCCCGCAACGATCACAGGCCACTGTAGCGTCATTGACGTTAAGCGATCTCAGCTTGCAAAATTTACAAATTTCTCCTCGCTCATTTTACAATTTGATCTTCGAATTCGGTTTAACAGGACTGGAGGCCTTCTCAATTAATCTTTTTCCTCTCTGACCAGCCATCATTAAATGCAAGAGCTAAAAAAACACAAGTTAAAACTGAATCAAGTTGAATAAAAATTGTAAAGTTTCCAAAGTGCCGTAAAAACTCGGTTACAGACTTGAGAATAAGCGGCTTCCAGAAAGTGGTGATGTCAGCGGCTGTAAAGGTGTTCAGGGTAGAGGAGGTAAGCTTGGGCATAAAACAAGGGCTCTATTCTTCCACGCTGGCGGAGCAGTGCACGTTGCCTTCGCTTGCTTGGCGACCCTCGCTGACTCTAAATCGCGTTATTTCAGATGAAACACTTTTACTTTAGGTTTGTTTTTTTTCTATTTGCACTCTCTTTTACTGACTTCACTGAAAATTCAGTCATTCACTGACACGGATCATAAAAAGAATGCAAAAAAAGTTCCGAAAACGGCACAGTAAAAGTTAAAAGTTGAAATGTGGCACCGCAAAACACGAGCGTCCGCTCTCGACCATGGCTGAAACTTGACTTGATAATATCTATAACGACACTATTGGTCTATCAGCTAAAAATTTTCAGTTTCATTTATGAACTTTGGTTGTCCACAGACGACTCGATCGTGTCCTACTTACCGCTGAACCACATTGCGGCGCAGATGGTGGACTTGTACTTGGCCATGACAGCTGCCGGCACCGTCTACTTTGCCAAGCCGGACGCGCTCAAAGGCTCACTCTTCGACACAATCAAAGACGTGAGACTTGGATCAAGAATTGATGATGGCGTCCACTTGCACCGCTTTTTTATGTATGACTGAATTTCCATTTTTTTCGAACTATTTTGCTCAGGACTTGAAGCACAAATAACTTATTTTTACAAAAAGTTGACCAAGAATAGACAGAATGGATGACGCTCTGAACAGGGCAAGTGTGTTCGACTACAATCAAATAACGTGTTATGGGACGATCTCGCATGTCGCGGGGAGAACATTGTGCTTTAATGGTTTACCATCGCAAAAAGTCTCTCACGGCTTAATATTGATTTCATCTCGGATGAATGAAGTGTGTAAAGGCTCGTCGATAACCCCAAGGCCGAATAATCACGCCTTACCTTACCAAAAAAATAACTAATGAGAAGTGCATGTGATCTAGTAAAAATGATTCAATTCAATCGTTATTAACTTCGCTGCCATGGCTATAAAACAGCGGATAGCGGACAATTGAAATCCTTGGTCATCTAAAAGACGCACCCAACTTGATTATAATCGCACGGTAATCGAGAACAAGTGAAACCTGCGTGTCAGTAATGTTGTTGTTGTTGTTGTAATAGCCCATCCTGGCAGTAGCGACTAGGGAGGGGGGGTGATAGGTCAGTTTTTCCGGGCACTTGGTGCCACTGGTAGTTCTACGACCATCACTGGCTCGCTGACCCGCCAGAACCATTTTATTGCATTGACCTTATCAAGGACGTCTACTCCAGATAACGCTCCTCGGACACACTAATGACCTCATCGAGGACGTCTACACCAGATCACCCACCTCGGACACACTCGTACACCAGATTTTGTTACAGAGTTCTTTTTGCGAGGCAGCGGCTTCAAACACAACTTGTGAAGACACGGGCAGTACAACAATCACGGATGCAGTGGTGATTTGTTCTTTTGTTAACTTAGGTTATTAAAAAAATTGGATGAAGTTACCATCAGGTGGATGACATTTGCTTCTTGGCGTGTAGCTGTTGCTGTAACGTGTTACTAAAAGAGCATTTGCATAATTGTGTTGAGGTAAGCATGTATATTATTTTAGTCGTTAACTATCTGTGTAAAGAATTTTACTGAACATACTTCTCCCGTATACTTAAGGTTGGGACCTTTTAGGCAAGACCAGAGTTAATGAGCTCAGACAAAATTCATTTTGAACCAAACTTGACCGAGATTGTTCAGCAATTTGGTACGTTATCATTTACTTATGTTATGATCATTTTATTGCTTGTTAACCTTGGCTATTTTCTCTATATTACTTATAATCTCGAATAACCTCAATTTGTGTTCAAATTGTTCATTCTTTGTTTTCAGAAACCGTTACAATCTACAACGCGTTTTCATTCTGAACAATCCCCCGAACAAAGAGCCATTATTCTTTATAATCTGTCCGACAGAGAGTATGAGATTTATTGTGCAAACTTATTAGTTCATTACCTTCATGTCAATGACTATATGCCGTAAATGCCTGGTTAACTTTATGATGGATACTCAATTTAATTAATGTAAGAATCTGACCTTCCCAGAAGAACAGGTGTATTTTTGTGGTATTTTTCCTTTTATATATTGCTGATTTTAACGACTGGCCTGACTTGATGGCAGGTTTATATAGTGAAATAGTTAGGTTAATTCTCTTAATTTTAATGATTCAACGGCCATGAATGCCAGGTTTTCTGTGATGTTATCATAAGAACTAATTAAACACAAGCCTGACTCGGTGTAAGGTGGCATACGAATAGCCAAATTTATTCACATCCTTTCTATATTTTTGCAGTAAATATACGCTTCGTTAATTTAAATAAATTATATCGCGCAGTGCATTTTGCCAATGAAAATTACATTAAGTTCTATAAATCATTCACACTAAAGTATGCGTATTTTCGCCAACCAACTACTTAGTACCGAACTTGTTAAACATCGAAAATTATCTTAATGTAATGTAGTCTTGTTCATATTCAAGTAGGGCTTTAATATTCCCCATTTTCAATTATTCAATTATATTTCAGCTCACCGTAAAAGCATAGCCATGCGCTGGACGGGAGCGCAGCCGTGGGTAACAAAATTGACTCGTAAACAGGTCCTGGGCCCAACGCCAACCATCAGCATGCAATATCTACACATAGCCTCAGATCAATGAGCTGTGTGTAAGTGACTCGTATCACCACACCAACTTTAAATAACACAGTCACTGCTTCACAGCGCCGGAGCACAACTGGCCGGAGCGCAGCAGGCCCTACCTACAACGCCTTACCCCGGCCCTACTCCTAACCTAACCTAGGGCCTAACGTATGGCCCTAACCTAAAGTTGCACTAATCATCATAAATGGCTTATTCGTATAAACTCGGCAATGTCACAACCCTTTTAATTCACAGTCCGTTGGTCTCTGCTCGAATCCATTAAAATCTATTCGTTCTCTTAGTCCTACGGCTCGTACTCATTGCCTATGAGTTGGACAGTGGATAGCTTTGGGAGGTCGTTACTTGTAGTAGAATTTGACACAGGCAGCTTAGAATGTTAGAGGTTGAGGCTTCACTTATCCTTGATGTTGCATCACTGGTGTATCTCATGTTGCGAGAAAGCTTAAAGCGTTGCCAAGCCAGCTAAATCTAAATAAATATGGGGGTTCATTAATAAAACCTTGCTACGTGAATTGCATCATTTACCGAATACAACCCTCAAATTTCCGTCGACATGAATCAAAGTATGATTTCTCACTTTGTCAGAATGACGATGAGCGGAAGGTGTCGCATTTTAATCTGGATATGGTAAGTACTGGTAGGTAAAATACTGGTTTTAAGAGACCTTCATTTTGTTTTTGCTCATAATTTTATCAGAATAATTACGCATGGACACGGCATTCGATAAAAACATTACAACATTACCTGTTCAAATTATTTCTCATCATTCACAAAGTCTGTAGATCACAGTTTCCGTTTTCAATTAACCTCCAATATATATTTGTAATGTTTTATTGTATGGATGGCCTTTAACTATTATCTCTTATCAGTACACCAATCAGAATGAATACCAACAGACACGACTGACGGAAAAAAACACCTAATCAGTGTTCAATTTATAAAGGAATTAAAATGTCCGATGGTTTTCCTAATCACCGCAATATAAAAGAATGAATGCAGGCTTCCTAACTTGATAATAATTGCTCGAATATAGATAAATAGGCAAGACGCTATTGATAAATCCTGAAACGACATAGAAGTAGTGTAGCTGCTACGCCCCACAGCAACCGTAAAATAGGGAGTCGTTTGAGGCACAGAACACAGCTCCCCACCAACAGAAGCTTAGCACTCGCACAAGCATCAGACGTGACAATCCATTCTTCATTTCTCTCGTAGCTTGCCGATACTATTCTCGCCTTGGCTGCAACTCATCCATTTCTATAACTGCGCATCAGAAGATGTTAACAATTATTTCTTCGCTTTTGTTGCTGCGAACTAAGCCATTCCGGCAATAATTACAATGAATGGTTACGCTCATGGTTGAACTATGAACTATATCTACTAGTTCAACCATGGGTTAGGTACGCTCCCTCTGGGCGCGTGTCCAGGCAGGCAATGGAGGCCGCCAAATGATGCAGTGAGATTAAAGGCGAGCTGCGGCAAGCCTCTCCTGCCAGCGCTGACTGCAGCGATAACCTTACCTTCAGCCATCAGCAGCAGCGGCAACAGCGCCCTGCATCTATCAGCAATAACAGCGCCCTCCAGTCGTCATCATCAGCAATAACAGTGTCCTGCATCAGCGATAACCTTACCTTCAGCCATCAGCAGCAGCAATAACAGCGCCCTGCATCTATCAGCAACAGCAGCGCAACTATAATCGTTATCAGCGATAACAGCGCCCTTCAGTCGTCGTCATCAGCAGCGATAACAGCGCCCTACACCGGATGTGTTGAATTTGAAGAACAACGAGCCAAAAATTGGTTCATGCATCTGAAATCGTTTAATGGAACAACATATTGCGCGTATAAAGCGAATGTACAAAATTACTAGGTAACAAAGTTAATGCTAAATTCAATTTTTTTACTTATTGAGATTATAAATTAATCAGGGGACGAGGTCATCTCAGCTGTAGCTAAAAATGGATCCGCTAAACTAAAACCGCTTGTGAGTGCAGAGCGATTGTGTGGCGTGAATGCATGAGACGAAGCAACATCGGAGCCTGCAAATGCGCCGACAGAAATGAAATGATCCAATCTGTGCATATCGACTGACGCCTGGCACTTAGTTTCATTTACCTGACAACTGACTGTTGAAACATGACTATCTTGTGTTTTGCACCGTGCCGGGCAGTTTGGTGTGAACCTGCCTTATATTAAGCGTATCAACTACTATTCACTAGTGCATGCGCTGCAAGGAATAAAATCAAAGACTATTCTTGCCAGCAACGCGTGTCTTCGCCAGACGCGTCGTCGAGCAGCCGGAGCCGTTCGAGTAAATATGTAAATTTTCATGCATTTATTACCGTCTGTTTCTCTAATGAAATTCCAGTCTTTTTCTCACTCTTCCAAAAAAACTCAGGACGTTGATCGCAAAAAATGTCATCATTTGCAATTCCGCTACGTGAATTTTTTTGTTTTCTCATGATACTCGGTCTTCTCGCAGCGATATGAACCGCTCTGATTTGGATTATCGATATTATTGTTGCTTCCGATGTGATAGAATGAAATATTTTATTGAAATTTTTTTGAAGAGTCTCAAATAATTGTCATTTTACAAGAGTTTTTTTCTTTTTTCTGAAAATTAAAAAGTTTTCCTTTTTTCGATAACTTGTAAATTTCATAGAATAACTTCCCTAATATCGTAGTGTAGTGACTCCTGTAACTTCACTGGCCGAGCTACAACTTCGGAAAGGATTTCGTTATGGGAGCTCCTGCATCAAGACGAGATGCTTTATCCTGCGTTCATTACTGAGACCAACATTTCTGTATTTATCATTAATAATGTGCGGAGCTTTAACTCGGCCTAGAGATCTTACTATATAGAGCAAGTAGTGTTCACTTCTGGCATCAGAAGTCAGTTAGTGAGATACTCGTATCCAG